GGGGGGGGGGGGGGCAGGCTGTATCTAGGGATTCAGGCAGGAATATCTTATAATAATAATGAATGAATCTTTATTGTCATTGTCACAAAAACAACGGAATTTAAAAAGTGCCATCAATCAGTGCATGTGCTTAAAATTGTTGTTTTTTTAAATCACTGTCCCAAAATTTACACACAATAAAAGAAATAGATAACAAATAACTGATAAAAAAAAACAACAACTAATAAATAAGAATAGCACTTTCTCAGTCACACGAGAAGGAATTGAACTGAATTGTTTTGTCCAGTTTGAAGGCTTTTTAAAAATATATTTATTAACCAAAGCAAAGGGGACTTTACCACTAAATTGAAAGATTTAGACTAGATTTAAACTGTGTAAAAACTGGGAAAATCACAAATACCACAGACATATTTTTGATTTTTGAATAATTTTGTTGGGAAGTACTTACAATATTGAATATTGACTGTGGAGTAACTATTCTAGTCCTATTCTAATCCTCAAACAGGCGTAATAATGTGATAAACACACTCCATAAAAGAGTTTTCTGCTTTCCGTTGTCTCGTTGTGTAAAAAAAGGGAGGAGAACTGGCACAAATGGGATGTCTGGGTTGCTCCTCTGCTGTTAATGTGTGTCTGCCATCAAAATAAATCCACAGATCACCTTTTAGACGGAGAAAAAAGAGGTTTGAATCCAGCTTGATGATTCACTGACAGGCGTTACGGGATCCAGGCTGTTTCTGGTGATAGTAAATGGCCTTTCTCTGATTATACGCTGTTGGGAAGCGGCTTTCCGAGCAGCCTCGGTTGGATATAAAACTCCTCACACATCCAAGTCGGCCATTTTGATTAGGTCATGTGACTAGCAGCTTTCTGAGATGGAAACAAACTTTACTGTCTATACGAAATCGGAGGAAAAACGATGTCCTAACCCTAACCCTGACCCTAACCCTAACCCTAACCCTGACCCTAAACCTAACCCTGACCCTAATCCTAACCCTGACCCTAATCCTAACCCTGACCCTAATCCTAACCCTGACCCTAACCCTCCACCCTAACCCTAAACCTAACCCTGACCCTAACCCTAACCCTCCAACCTCCAGGCTTTAGTCACCTCCTTATCCTCCAGTCACCTCCTCTTCCTCCAAGCTTTAGTCACCTCCTCTAACTCCAAGCTTTAGTCACCTCCTCTAACTCCAGGCTTTAGTCACCTCCTCTTCCTCCAGTCACCTCCTTTACCTACAGGCTTTAGTCACCTCCTCTTCTTCCAGGCTTTAGTCACCTCCTCTACCTCTAGATTAAAGTCACCTCCTCTACCTCCAGGCTTTAGTCACCTCCTCTTCCTCTAAATTAAAGTCACTCC